AGTCAGCAAAACAATGCTTTATTTAAAGATAATAGTATACATAAATACTATTTAGCTTTCTTACTATTTAACATAGCATGAAATCGGCTATTAAATACTGAGAGTCAACTAAGAACATCTACAATTTTTTTCAAATACACTTCACGTAACTGCAATTAAAGACTGGATAAAAAATTAAGCTAGCGTTCAAATTTCGATATAACCTGTTTGCATTCATTTCACTTAATGCCTCTTCTTATATTTTTAAGTCAAAGACACATGCGAGTTATACTTGTATATTAAAACTACTGAATGCAAATTCAGCATCTTAGATAACTAGAAAAAGCTTCATCTCTTCATGCAGTCAATTCCAATTTATATGAAAAAAATACATTGTAACTATCATATGTAGAAACCTTTGCACTGACATAACTCAGCAGGGGTGAAACACTAGATTTTTTTTTTTTTTTTTTTTTTACTCTTGTTTATAAAGAGAGAAAGAATTCGTCAAATGCATACTTATCGTCCCATTGTCCTATTTAGAGAACAGTTAGAAAACAATGCGCTAAAACTCACCTAATAACAATATACCTTTCTTTAACCACCAGGATGATAATGTAAGAGTACTTTCACATACAAAATGCCCAGCCGAGTGTCCAAAGTAAACTGAAAACGAATTCTGCAACTGCAAAGAGATGATACAAACCACGCCCACTAATGCGATGAATACGTAAACTGTCCAAATGAAGGTGGAGGGGGGCGAGACGCTAGCAGATGCTAATACATATCCCTACATATTCCAGCTGGCAAAATATTCGCACCAAGCGAATGCTAATTTCCACATGCTATGTTTCAGCTGTTCTTTAAATAGGACAGTGGGATAAAATGGGTTAAATATGTAGATATTACCTGTCAAATAAAAACATTTTTTATTTTAACATTTATTTAAAAATGAATTATGTGCACATAATTCACTCAAAATTCTAGATGACATACTTTTTTTTCGCAGCTTAGTTGTTGAAACAGTCACTGCATACCACTGGATTCTTACACACATACACACATTACAACAAACATTTCGTTATAGAAGGATAAACCAGTATATAAAACATCAAATATGAAGTATGCTTTCCATATAGAGAAGTTGCATGAGATCCTCAAAAACTGAACCATTTAGACAACAAAGTTGGTTAAATTTTATTTATAGGAACAAAATTAATACTGCAGCTTTAAATAATAAAACTTAATTAAAATACAATGTTGGCTTTAATGAAAACATAGTTAATATCAGAAGTTAAAAACTGTAGAAATTAAATAAGCAAAAACATGAAAAAGATTCAATTTAAATGCAGAACTAACTACTTTACCATAATAATTAAAATTGTAGGGAAAGATAACTGCTTTATTTATCTAATTGTGGAAAATCATTCAAGTAATTAAACTGCAATACTGTTTGTTCACAGAACTTTTTCATCTTGCATCTTTAATAAACAATAATTCATGCATAATTACATATACAGACAGTCCCCCCACCTTACGAACTTTCACAGATACAAACAAACCTGTTCTCAAAGTATGAAATTTGTTCAGATTCAAAATGAAAATAAATAAATGGAATGCAGCAAACTAAGCTACATGATGCTTTCTGCACTAAGACAGTGAAAGCAACACGAACCATGTTTTCTTTACATTGCTTTCAGTCACACTCTTTGTTTTTAATCATGAAATATTTGCAAATAAATAACTTAAAAATGATTGGTGAAGAGGCAAAATCAAATGCTGATCATGACAGAGCAAAAATAAACGTGTCAAAAGTGAAACGTGTCAAAGTAGCCGATACTTATCAGGTCGAAAAAAACGTAATGTGATGGAGAAGACAGAAAAACCTCTTTTGAAAAGGATACAGCATGAAACTCAAAATCATAAGCTTCTCTATCTTACTATCATTTAAGAAAAGGCGAAGCTTTTATTTGAAGATATATGAGCAAAATGTGGCTCAACTTCTGATGATTAAACGTTCAGTGCCAGTTATGGGTCTTAGTCGATTGAAGAAACGCTCTGATTGCTTGCTGTAAGAGAAGAAGCTTATATGATGATATAGTTGCCGTTGAAAAATTCAAAGGAATGCGCCGGATTCCAAGGAAATTATATCAGCTGGTGGCTATAATGCGCAGCAAATATTTAATGTGGATGAGACAGGTCTTTTCAATAACAAAATTTCAGAGAAATCTACGTCAGTCAAGAAGAAAAGAGGATGTTTAATTTTTAAAGTATGAAAGGTTAAACTGACTTCCTTGCTGGAAATTCTAAACTGAAGCCTGAATTAGTTTATCATGCTCCAAATCCAAGGGCATTGAAAAACATCCCATCCTGTCAGAATTGATGAATCGGAAGGCTTGGGTGGCATATGCAATATCTGAGGTTCTAATGCCATTTCATTCTATAGGCGAAACTGTTCTTTTAACAGAAAGCGACTCTTTTCAAGATTCTCCTGATCTTCGATCACCTAGCCATATGTAAGATTTAAATGACTTCCATTACAATGCTGTGTTTCTACTACCTAATACAACACTGATTTTAAAACCAATGGACTAAGATGAGATTGCCAATTTAAAAAATATTATGCAAGCAATACATATCACAGGCACTTAACATTGACAAAAAAACCTGATACTCGTTTGAACTGCAATATTTATGCAGAACATGATGCATGGGGAGATAAAAGTACACATGAATGGCATTTACAAAATTATGTGGACATACCTTGTTCATGACTATCGCAGTTTCAATAAAGGTAATAAAAGAAAGAAAGTCCTTGTGGGTTTGTCTATATTATCTGGAAACATGATTTAAACCTACAGGAGATGTATTTCAAAGAATAGCTAGACTCCCATGGAGAAGAATCGGCAAAAGAAGACCTGATGCATCTTGAAGGGCAACACTGACAGGCGGAGGAAGAACCTACCCCAACTAAAAAGTTCAATACAAAGTTAATGGCAGGTGCATTTTACAAGCATGAAGACAGCCTTATTCTTTTTAAGAAAACCAAGATCCAAATTCTATGACGTTTGCTTAAGCCTGCCGCTAACAATAATATACAGTGATCTTCCTGTCTTACAAAAAAAAAAAAAGTTCAGACAAGTTTAGTCATTTATTTAAGAAAGATATTTCAGAAATCAGTGTTTCAAACCCATCTATCATGCCAACTCTTTCCACTTTTCAGGTTTATCAGTGGTCGAATAATCAAGGTGCTCAGCACAAGTGCTTTGCCTCAGGTTCAACTCCAGACAAATGGGCTGGCTGTCTGAATGGATATCTTCATGTTTTTCTCTATGTTTAAAAACAGATATGAACGAGTTTTCTTAGAAAGTACTCCAGGAATGTATTCTTTTCCTTAGGCAGATAGCCCTTGCATGTTTTGCCGTAACTAAACTAGCCGTCCACCTATCATGAGCATCCTCATCAGAAATGTCCCCTTCACTTGTTGATTTGCCTTCTGAGGGCAAGTCAGATGTTAATTCCTTTTTCCTCCATTCACACATACCTCAAAGATGACAATCCAAGGTATGTACCGTATAATACAGAAATTATTTATTTATTATTTGTTTATTTATAAAGCATTTATTTAAAATGCATCATTTATTTGTTTTAGAAATTTTAATTCTTTCTTTGATAGTGTTTATAGCACTTACCTCATAAAAATCGTTAGGAGTTATGCATAGTGAACCCAATAACATTTTTTGAACAAATTTTCATGGTATGAATGGTCTTACAGAATGCAACTCATTCGTAAGGTGGAGTGAATAAGTACATATACATTTAATTTTACACTTACAAAATATTAGTTGATCTACGCAATATATAAACATTTCACTACAGTTTTTAGTAAATATTTTGAAGCTACATAAACACAATTTATTTAGGCCTAAGTGACAAAATCTGAATGGGGTAACATACATATTCCAATATAAATATAAAACAGGAACTATTAAAAGATACACTTTAACGAGAAAAGGGATATATGGAATACGGAAAAAAATACACCTATTAATAATTTTCATAACTATCTTACAAGATAATTCAGAAACAGTCGTGACATAGCTGCTGAAACAATGCTTGATAATATATTTGCATGTGTGTATAAACATTTATATATATATGCACATATAGGTATGAAAAAAGTGTTTCAGAAAGACTGCATGGCTAAATAACTTGAATAATTGATTGTAGACTCCTGTTTCCAGATTAAAAAATGGAATAAGATAAAACTTTCAGACTACACAGTTTTAATTAAAAATATGCAAAACTTATATTTATATGGATTCTTACCACATAAAAGTCAATGAGAAAAACATTTTGCACACCCTATTACATTAATTCCCTACCCCCCGCAAATTCCAAATTATACAAGATATCAATAATACAATTTTTAGGGAGAATATACAAATGTTGGCAAAAGACAGCAAGAAGTATTAAGCCACTAAATACCAATTTCTAAAAGATGTTTTACATCAGGAAAATATCAGTTAAGGCACACTGGTTCCATATTACATTTGAATAAATATTAGTCAAATTTTATATCTAATGAAACCTAATTTTTATATGATCTTTAAATCATCATTGCTTTTTTTTTTTTTTTTTTTTTGGATACAGAGCAGTTTGTCACACAATTCCGAAATTTTCTTCAGGGTCCATTCAACATATTATGTGCCAACTACTTTCTCTAAAACATCATTAGCATGATTCAGAGCAACTGACTCACTGAAACTTCCTTCGTAGTGGGCACATAAGAAATATCTCATCAAAACTGGCACATCCAAAAGCTTACCTTATTCGATTTATTGGAAACACAAATCTACCCCAATATGTATTTAGTTTTACACTTTTTTAAAAGCCTTCAAGTATATATCATTTCAAAATGCAATTAGAAAGCAAAACACAAATTAACAACTGCTTTTCAGAAAAAGCAAAAAAAAAAGATGCAACATCAAAACAATCTATTTTCCATGAAAAGTACTTACTGTTTTAAGTATTTTCCTTAGAGAATAGAGCTAAGAGCTAGCACTGGATACTAACAAGAACCTGGACATTATTTAAGCTCTATTTTTAAAGAATGATGAAATTTAACTTTTGTAACACAATAAAAAATCACTTGCCAAATGGAAAGAACATATGCTTATCACCATAGCAGGACATCAATAATAGGAGCAAATAATAGCAATCTTGTCAAAGGCTATCTAAAAATTATTCAAGAAATTGTCACCGATTTTATACTGATTTGCTTCATGTTTAACCCTTTGGCTTATCTTGCTGGCTCAAAGCCAGGCACCATTATCAAACAGTTTGTTTGTTTATCTGCTAAATGCTTACTGATGCAACTGGAATGAATTTTTTTTCCCAGATCTAGCACATGACATTAGCATTGTATAACCATAAAAACTCCGAAGAACTGATTTATCAAATGGTAAATTACAGCACCAATAATTTTGCACATGTGATCATATCATATATCATATATTACACAAAGAGTTAATTCAGAAGGAAATGGCTCATGTTCTTTTTAATGAAAAATTGATACCAGAAAAAATGTATCACTCATGAAAATTGCTTGCACATTCCTTTATCTTGTGCAAAACGCTTGGACATTTTAACCTACCAAAATCACTGATAGTGACTCTAAAACATTCTACCATTAAAAAAGGAAATGATGTAAACACTTATTTGATTCACATTGCTGACTTTACTGGGATAAACAAAGAAATAAAAGAATTAGTTAATAAGCAACAGGACAAATACCTCTCAAAGATTTTCTCATAACAGAGATCCTAATGGAAATCTACTCTACTACTACTAGTCTTTGGGAAGACAGCAGTCAAGTTCCAGAAATGTTATTTTAAAACATTTCATTGGCAATTTCACCCACAGCAACAAAGTTATAGCTAAGACAGGGCTTTAGCTGTCAAAAGTGCTCTGAACTCTTTTTCTATTAATGCTATTGTCAGTGTACCTGGATGACAATAAAGAGATTTCAGCACCTGCTCGTTCCCTTACAATTCATTTTTTAAAGTCAGTTGTAGCAGAACCATCTCTTGTAAAAATTAACAACAAAATGCAGCTTTGGAAAAGAATCAATAAGGCAATACTTAAGAAAAATGAGTTACAATTATCTCAGTAATATGTGGCACAGTATAATATGAACATATAACAAGCAAAATACAAAAATTAAGTAGGTAATCTTAAAAAGGGAGGAACTATCTATATGTAAATTAATCATGTCACATGATCTGCACTTACATAAAGGAACTGAAGAATAGATATTGTATGTATTAAAATAAAGCTGACAGTCCTTAAAAAAAAAAAAAAAAAAAAAAAAAAAAGAAGTTTTTGCATATTTATGCCATCTTGTTTTTGGTTCAATCACTTAATGACAATTCACTTTCATTATTTTCCTTATGTTGAAAGCCTGATGAACAGAATTTTGGACTTTTATTGAGTTTCTTAAGATTTCAAACAAATTTAAATTTCTTATATTTGTCTACCAGCCTCAGTTTGATATTATTCTACATTACTGATATTGTTTGTCTGTATAATACCAGTATTCTGAAAGTTTAATTGTGGATAAATTGAATTATAAGCATCCCCATTGTTGCTGTAAGGTTGGATGGCATGCTTGAGCATACATACCTGTTCCAGATGATCTGGAATAAGATACAGTACAAAGTCCGTAATACGGACTCGTCGGGACTTTGGCGATTCCAGATTAGGGTTTTTCTGGATTATAGATCATCAATTTAAATCTGGTAAGATGGCATGCAGAAATTATACAATTAAAAATATGAAACCGTAATTTATGAAATAAAGAGCAATTATGATCTAAAGGGTATCAATATTTACAAAAAAAAAAAAAAAAAAAAAAGCTTAATATTTATTTGTTTACTTTAGTAAACATTTCTATCAATGTAAGTTGTTTAAGTTGCTTCGTTTTTTGTGCTAATACTTTCTCTTTAATTCTATGAACAGACATAATTTCTTGTTCAGTTACAAAGTTCTACTGTTCAAGTACTGTAATTGCTGTGTCGAGAATACCGACTAACTTGTCAATTGAAATTTTTTCGTTTTCAATAATGTTTCCTGTTACCTTCTTCACTATCGGAAGCGCGCATGGGTAAACGCTTTACTGGCTTTATGCGCATGCATAGCGGACGCGCGCATCAAACACGCATGCATAAATGCTTTACGCGCATGCGTAAGTTTGTGGCTTTGAGGTCCGAATTATAGATCATTCTGGATAATGGACGTCCGGATTAGAGACTTTGTACTGTACTGGTAAGTGCTGCAAATGAATGATTGTAACATGTCACCATAAAAATATGACTGTAACTAAATGCATAACCCATTATGTTCTATTAAAATAATTATTTATCTTACTCGCAATATATTTTAAAATATAAAGGACTAGTTTATCCATAATTGATTTATATAACTCTTATTACATTAGTAATTCACAAACTCTTACACATGCAGACACAAGAATTTCAGTTACTACACATGGAGAAATGCAAGTTTTAATAGACAATGATTTGTGTATAGCAAACTGTAATATCAGTTTTAAACTTTATTGAACTAGTTGTTAGTTAAACAACTAATTCAATAATTAATACTTTTTAATTACAATTTAAAATTACTCCAAAAATTAAACCATTTATGTAATTTTGAAATTTATTTTTTAATTTTTTATAGACATATTTTTATAATTATGCTCATGATGAAATTTGATCTCTTACAAACAACTATCCTATCTATTAAATTCCTATTAGTCAACAACAGGTTTTCAATCATATTCCAAATTCTGTTAAACTGCTGGTAACTTCTTTTTCCATATAACTTTTGCTGTTAGTTTCTGCAATTCTTTTAATACTTTAAAAGTGAGTTTTTACACATTCCTGTATTAATGAAGTCAAATAGAATATCAGATCAAATTTTGGCATAATATACAAAAACTTTATCCCTTTGGAATTATAACAATCAGGAGACTCTTCTATTTATGATTTTAGCACATAAGGTACAAATATGATTCTTCAGGAAAAATGCAATACATTCTAGCACTAATTTCAAGACTGATTTTTAAAGCAATTCAAATATTTGAGATGCAGTACTCTTAAAATTTAAGTAAATATTCTTAGGTAATAGCAAAACAAAAACAAAATGCAAGAATTTAGTCTGGAAAGGAAATTTTTAAAAATTTAAGAACTTAGCAAGAATGTCTATGACACATCAAACTAATTTGTCAGAATTAAATTATTCATAACAGCAATCAAAAACTTTTAATCACTCCAATACACATAAAATAATAATGTCAATTCAACATAAATTACTTGGAAAGTAAAACAAGAAACAACACAGAAGTAGCATAAGCTTCAACAAATGGCAAAGTAAAACAACTGTTTCAGTTTTCAGATTAGGTAAACAATATATAATAGCCATTTTACAAACAAAAATGGAGTGACTCACAAAACTGAGCAAGTACCTTGCAAATAGATTTTGGAGGTCTTTCATACTGTTAAGAATTTTTTATTCTAATTTCATATTTATAAAAACAATGAACATGATGCATTACATTTAAATAAAAACAGTTTTATGCATTTTTTAATTTGTGATGGATGCATTTTTAGGAATTAATAAAGTAGTATCAAGGAAATGCGTAAGTGCTTGAAAATGAAACTCCACTTTAACTATCACATTTTGTTTTAGAATTAACACACTGATAAATTATTTTCAAACTTAATGTTACATAAGAGAGTTTGCATCTGCATTTTCCACGATGTCCAAAGTGAGCTCCAGAAAGGCAGGGACAAAGGGAGACAAATAAATCTGAAATTTTATGAACCAAATGGCAAAAGAACATCCTGTATAGGAAACAGCATGATCTGTACAATGAAGCCCGATTTGCATCTATAGAGTAATTTAGAAGTTCAAAAGAACTGGCCTACAGCTCTAACAAAAGATAAACAGATTTTGAGACAGCAAATAATTTTTGACATGCAGAAGTCTCCACATTGATGTGCTAAAAATTATACTGTGGGCATAAGCAAAAATAAAGAAAACTGTCTCCAAAATCCAGCAAACGCTAGATACAGCAGTTGCATAGCTCTAAAAAACTTTTATAAGCATAGCCAATAGAATAAAAAAGATTGAGCTCTAACAGAAACCATATTAAGACCCAAAATTTCTGAAAACATTATTTTCATAGACAGCAAACTTAACAATACTCAAAATGATGCTTATCATTATCTTTTGCAGAAGCTAATATTAAACTAAATCCTCCATTAAAGCACAATAATTCTGTACTTGACTGATTTGGTATGACAACCTAGACAAATCTAAAGCTAAAAAGCGTAAAAAACAGAAACTTGGTGTCTGTGATTGCATTATAAACAGGGAAATATACTTTGATATATGAAAAAAAAGCCTCAAAGAGAAAAAAAAAAAAAAAGAGAAGCCCAGAAATGTGGCTAGGAGTCACATATCCTTCTCCAACTGTATAAATTTTCATTCAAGCTTTACATCATTTAATTTTCAAAGTATTAAATGATTTAAAAAATGTACAGCTGTATTTTCTAAACTGCAATAAAGGTAACTCCAGACACCTCTCCATTTTTCAGACATTGACAAAACAAAAAATTTGTGATGTAGTTCTAAAGAAGGCTGCACAAGATCATCAAGCAACAAGTAAAGCCCAAGTAACCAAAGAAGAGGCTGCACAAGATCATCATGCAACAAATAAAACCCATGTAACCAAGGAAGGCTTAAAAGAGATGCAGTACATGGAGATGGATAAAATATGTCAAAAGATTTATGAAAAACACTGCATATTCCATGCCAAAATGAAAGCTGTCATTCAGTCCAAATGTTATACAGCACAATATTGCCCATGCAAATATTATTTTAAATAGTAAATTTTACATAAACATACATTTTCTCAATTTTGTGGTATACTGTTTTCAATTGTTTAAATGTCACTCAACAAGAATAGTGGTTAAAATGACCCTGACTGCTGTACCAAAGGGCCCAGGTTTTAATCCCAGAGAAGACATGGACATTTCTGAATGCATAGGGTCTCTGTGACATGGGAGCACACAAAATCTGCAGCAGCCTGACAGTTCTCTTGAGAGGTTGTTGCTAGGAGATCTTTGGACCCATCACTCCCTAAGTGCTCTCCTTTAAAATTTGGGGTGTATCTGAGCAAACTTATACTGTCACCTACATAGAGCTAAAGGCTCTTGCCAATGACAGCCACAATCTTGACTCCTTGCCACGACGAATTTCATGGACATACTTTGATATCAGAGACCTGATCTGATGTTACTGTTGATCAGGTGGGATAAGCCACAAACAAAATCAAAACAATTGTTTGAATCAAGTGACTAATGCAGGTGAAATTATTTCGTTCAGATCTTAAAATTTTTAGAGTTCTGATAACTTACAAAATGGTATTTTCCATGTGTCAATGAAATAAAATACATGATGCAGAGTAGCCCCAGATGAAAAGAGAATTAAAAATGATAAAAAAATAAAAATATGATTTTTCACTCAATTTTATGAGCTACAATTAACACTTCAAATATTCTTCAGAAATGGCAAGTAATCAACTACAAACATAATTCAATTAGCCTGGGGTTTAATTACATAAGCTTGTAAAAATCTAGTGTCTATTTTTAATAATATTTTTACTTTTTGTTGCAATAAATGCTACATATTACAATTTTATGTCACAGTTTGTTATAAGCAGACATGATGAAACTGAATCACTTTCAACAAAATCTGTAATATTCCAAAAAAGATGTACTCACATTTCATAATGAGTGGATATAAATCATTTATCACATAAAATAAATTTGAAAAACATAGTTCACAAACATTAAGGGGCTCTGCATACAACACTAGTGAAAATCATTTCAGAACTAACCAGCTAGAAAATGTAAGTTCCATTATTCCATTCTGCAAATTCTATTTTACAATAATAAAAGAAAATAATAAAAAAAATTGCTTTAATATTTTTCTCCCATATTTTAGCAACATTACTGCTAAAAGTAATCAGTTTTATTGCAGATCTTACTCATCTATATGATTTTATTCATTTATCTCACTGATCATATGTAATTGAAACATTACAAAAAAACATACATAACAGATTTTGGTTTAATTTAATGGGTAATTTGAACTTTCTCAACTGATAATGTAATTTAATCAATAATAACTTTTACTTTAAAGCAGGGCCAAAAGTATCAATAATCTAAAACAAATGCACCAAAATAAATTTCTAGATGACTTCCATTCAACAGGATATGGCCATTCAAACTGCAGAGATGTGATTCCTTATGGCCTCAAATTTGGCTGCAGTATAAATTATGGTAAGAGGCCAAACAATAAGCAGTTCTTCCTTATTTTTAGTATTTTAACTGAAAATCCATATTACATACAGAAAATCAGTAGTACCCCATTGGCCTTGAATACAGTTGAAACTTTCTGGATATGCCATCCATATAATCAGAAACTTGCATGCATGTTGTAACAAAAAGTTAAGTATTTCTTAAAAAAAAAAAAAAAAAGAGAGAGAGAGAGAGAGAGAGAAATCTAGCAAAATACAGCATGACCAAATTTTTGAACTTCAACCTTTCCAATAAATGCTAAAAATAAACACAGTACAAGCCACTTATTAAAATCACCTCTGTTCCAAACATATTTCAGTTTATTAAGCAGCTACGTTTAATAGACAACAGTTTGTATATTGCAAACTGTGACATTAGTTTTAAACTTTAGAATAAAGTATTAACTAACAACTAATTCAATAACTGATCCTTAAATAATTTTAAATTAAATTATTTATGCATTTTTGAAATTCAATTTTTAGTTTTTATAAAAATATTTATATATTTATGTTCTTGATCATATTTAATTTATTGCAAACAACTATTCTATCTGTTTGAGTCCTATTGTTCAAGAACAGTTTTCAACTGTATTCTAAATTTTGTAAAGCAGCTGGTCACTTTTTTGATCAATACCTTGTAGAGACATTAGGTATTTTTGGAAGCAGGCAAGATGAAAAATTAGCAACGCCTTCGCCGGGAATTGAACCACGGATCTCTGGAATACGTGCCCAGCGTGCAGACCACCACACCACAAAGGCATTGCAAGAAGGTGGGAGAAATACCCTATAACCTTTCAGTTCAAGAGTTTTTCTTAGAATTTATGGTGCTTTTCTATATTCTATCGATGCTGGCATATCAATTTTTCCATATAACTTTCACTGTTAGTTTCTGCAATTCTTTTAATTTTTTACAGTCAATTTTTACACGGTCTCAATATTTTTTAGAATAACATATATTATAAAAATAAATTTTCACTGATGTCATTAGCTATAGCTTGGAATTTACCTCAAGATTTTTCTACATAAAAGCCACATATTCAAAAACAGTTTTTAACAGATTTTAAAAGTTTTACCCCTTGCATTAATTATAACATATATGGTCTGTAGCAGGGCTATCAATGTACTAATGTCCTTCATAATGTTTGCATTTTCACAAAATTTAATTCTGTTTATCAATTTTCTCCAGTCTGTCACTTATTCTATAACACCCTGGACTAAAGGCTGGATGTTAGAAACTGTACCAGAGGTGTGTGTGTTGCACAATTACCTTAGTCAAGTTATTTTTCTATTTTTCAGACAGCTGTCCCACTTCATAAGAAAATCAGTAAACATACTCTTGTTGCTATAGTTAAGTTAGAGGTAAAATTTTTACTCCATTCAAACATGAAGGTTTTCTTAATTGTTGGATTCATACTGCATGTTAATAACACAGTAATTCATTCCTTTAATTGTTACGCCAGCTGTTGTTTGATTTTTAAATGGTAATGTACATTCTGATAATGTTCTATAACGCAGCCCAGTTTCGTATGCATCAATTTTGCACGGTTTTCTCTCATTTAACAGTCTAAGTAAAATGTCTTTTATCCCAATACCAGCCACATGATGATAATCACCTTTCTTCCCACCATACAAGTTTCTGATGAGCAATGTTGGATTTCCCTTTCTCTTAACTTGTGAGCTATCTGCCATTTGACACAAAATTCTCTCCTAGCATTTAGTTAGTAGAAAAAGCTCTAAAAACAAAAACACTTTATAGTTTTACAACTTCAAGCTACTCTAGAAAAGCATTTACTTTCTTAAGAGATTTTCATTTTTATTAGTTTTTCATTGATTATAATTCCTTGTTTAAGTAAATTTCATCATGCTGTTTTGGAAAATTCCTAATTTAAAGGTAGTTGTTCTCTGGCTATAATTATGAAGAATATCCAAAATCTTTTATCTATTTATTTTCTTCTTTTAGACTTACATCTTTTCACTTGGCACATTTATCATTTTATGAGTTAAGCACACAATAAATTTTAGCCAGCAGAAAGAGAGCCCTTTGTCTCTTTAGTCTATCTGTCACTTCATGATTAAGCATGACCAATATTTGCTCTTTTTTTTTCAGTTATTACTTCCTTTGCATTCAAAGATGTTAATGTACAATAATATTAAGACGCATTTCATGAACTTTTCTGAACATAATATTCTACCAGAAAAGAACGATTCTGAATATGCAAACTTTAAAAGATGGGACACTGAAATAGCAGTTCCACCCCTTATCAATTGGTATTCCAGAAGAAACCCTCACTCATTTACAATGCCCTTAGAGGGTTGTGTTTGTTAACCTTAAGATAAGAAAATGCTACTTACTTAAGTCCAGTGTGGATAAGAAAAACTCTGAAAACGGTGTATCCAAAATATAAGGATGGAAATAGGAAAATTTCATTCAAACCTATTTTACTGAAGCATTACATAATTATACAATAAAAACCATGGTTCATAATATGTTAAACAGGTGAACCATGAAATGTTTTAATAGGTATAAATAAGTAAGCTATTTTCACACAGAATGATCACTCTTTTTGCCAAACTCAGTATTATAAGTGGTGAAGATGTATTTAATAAACGGCATTCTTCTTAACATTACCGTACATTAACACTGCATTTTGGCTATTGATTAGGATACATTTCGTTTGGTTCCTGGAAATCTGAATGCAATCATTAACCAGTGAGTTTCATAAGTGGTGGGCACTGTAATGTTATTTCTGTTCTAAACATATCATGCCACAGATCAAGTTTTCAAATATGGTACTTCCATAGATGATAATAATTTGATACAAGATTAAATGACTAATCACAAAACATATATAAGCCTTACATAAATTTATAAATGCAAAATAATACACTGTTTTCAACTTATACTGAAATTTTTTCATCTAAATATTCATACGTTAACACTAAGGTAAGTTTTCAAGTATGTCATGCATTAATACAGCCCAAATTTAAGTTGCAAAAGAACATGGTATGAAAATTTGATTTTCTACTAACATCACCTAATTTTTCAATTGAGTAATTATACCAATTTTATTTACACTATCAAGTTACTCAGTACAGCATTCATATATTCTAAAACATATAGTGTGAATTTTATTTATTAAAAGAATCAAGTTTCATTATTTTCTCAGAATAAAAGGTATAGGCAGAATAGCTCAAATATGCAGTTAAGCATACTGTATAAAATATAGATTAACAGTTTTACTACATATATTAATGTAGCAGAATGTTGGTCCCACCATAATTCAGCTTTGTCAAATCCCTCAGAATGAAAATCAGATTGTTCACTCAAAATGTATTAAGAAATGACAGTGATTTTAAAATATTCTAACCCTAGTCTGCTTTGCCAAGATTAAATAATCAAGTCAAAGTTTTCATAGCTCAAATTCTTTTACAATGATGGTATATAAATTGCACAGATTCTAATACATAATTGAAGGGGAAAACAAAAAATCTGAAGTGTCAAAGCATTAAAGCAGCTTTAGTTTTAACTTCTAGCTGCTCTTTGTCATGCAAATTGTTGGAACTAAATTATAAATGCATGATGCAATCCTTATGAGTCTTGACAAATGTGCTTCATTATTAGTTTGACATATATTAGTCATATACATATTTATTCTCATTAAACAGCAACAGACTTTAGAACTGTGAAGCATACTAAGATGACAAATGCTATCATATTTTTATGAATGGTAGCAAATACAGACTCCTGATAATCAGATGCATGAGAAAAATTAACCATCCACATATGGCGGAAGAACAGGACTACACAAAAACGGCCACCACAAAAAGCACGTAAAGAATTAACCAATACCCATCTTAATTTAATAATGTTACTAAAAACTATCAGTCGATAGATTATTCAGCATATTCTGAATTTTATGGTATTTGAAACTTGAGGTTCCCTCTCCAAAGCACAACTGCTTACACCATAGTTTTAAATTATGCACTTTGAATGAGCCACAGAACATCCTCAAGCTGTTTTGAGAAAAGGGGTGGAATTTGCAAGTAGCAGAAACCAGATTACAATATAGATCCAGTCTCTCAATATCAATCGTGCAAGTTACTAGTTACTTTACTGTAGCATGAGTATGTTCTTTTGAAGTGCACGAGAGCAACTAGAATCTCCTCTGACATATGAAACATCTCAATGCAGATCCCTTTCTTCCATTAATGCTATTTTTCCATACAGTAAAGATCTGTACAGCACGTTACTGCAGCACTCAGGTGAACACAGACATAGAACTGGATTATGAACAATCTTGATTTCTAGTTATACTACTGAAATTCTATTGAACGAATCTCTCGAACAGGAGGGAAATCTCACTAAACACATTAGAGCAGCTGTACACTATTTGTTAAGTTGCCTAATGTTTCATCCCTTCAGTTTTTATTACAACATTTGCTTAAAAAATGATGTACAGCTTTAAAATTTACCATTATCTAACAAACTATTAAAAGAATGAGCAATTAGCAACAATAACAATATCACAAATAGCACAAAAGCAACACAGAAATATAATCCTTACCACCATCTATCAACAAATACAGTTACAATTATTACAATACATAAAAATCATAACATTAATTCCTTAACATTCATTTATAAAATCCATTTTAAAAATGGTGAGATGCATCAAAAGACCAAGAGATCTTAAGTTGCTTCTAGAGTTAGAGGACGGTCACGTATTTCTGGTACTCTGAATGGTATATCAAGATGCAAGAAAATATCCGCCTCTGATGGAGTTGCCAAAACTTCATAAACAAGTCCACGATCCTAAGAAAAGAGGAAATTGTTAAATACTATTTTCACTCTCAAATTACACAATAATGAGCTAAAAAAGAGCAGGCTAAATAAATTTAAATTTTCAAACTACTAGCTTACAAAACTATTTTTAATGAGAAAAGAGTATCTTTTTAGATCTACCAATAATAATTACCTATTACTTAAACTATGCAAACAAGCACAGTTAATATGTCTAAAAATTAAAAAAAAAAAAAAAAAAAAAAAAAAAAAACCCTCTTAAAGAAATAATCTGAAATGAACTGTGTGTACTGCAAAATACAGTCATATACAATGGTGAAATAAATTAAGAGAACTTTCATATTTGATCTACGATCCCCAGAACTACTAGACAGATTTTAATAAAATTTGGTGTGAAGATAGGTTAAAATAATACAAACAAAATAAACATTCAATAGTTATAATAGACACACATGTTTCTTGCAACACTCATGGGAGTCTGAAGGTCTGAAACAACGGTTGCAGAAAACACAAAAGAAATGGGTTAATAGGGGGTATGGTCCCCTCTTACAGTCATACAAGCCTCGCAGCATGTCATACTGGAAATAATGCAGTTTATTGGTGCCTGTTGCAATTGGTCCCACTCATTTAGCAACGCTGTTTTCAGTTCCTGGATGGTTCTTGAAGGGGGTTGCAAGTTGCAATTGCCTTCTCCCCAGAGCGTCCTAGATATGCTGTATAGGGTTGAGGTCTAGAGACCTGGCTACCCAATACCATCCGGCGAATATTCTCACTCTCGAGAAATTCGTCGACCAAAATATGTGGCCTCGCGTTATAGTACTGTACGATGAACTTGGGGCCCACTGCACTCCAGAAAAGGCTCCAAGACCTCATCCCTATACCTAACACCAGTTACAGAGCCTCTGTGATTGACGTGGAGAAGTGTGCGGCCATCCAACATGATGCCTGCCCAGATCATTATACCGCCACCACCATAATTGTTGATTTCGCGGACATTGGAGGGTAGGTAACGGGTCCCTGGCTCTCTCCATATGAAAGTATAGCGAGAATCAGTGTTTAGGCTAAAACAGAACTTGTCGGTGAACAGAACGGTCACCCACTGCTCCATACTCTAATCATCATGCTGCCTGCATAATGCTAATCAGACTCTCCTGTCCGTAGACGTGAGCAGGAAGCAAACAGCCGGTCTTCTGGCAAAAAACCCTCTCTCATTCAGTCTTTTGGAAACAGTCACCCTTGTTACACGGGTTCTTGTGGCAGCATACCAGTCCCGAGAGAGCCGAGAAGCTGTTATGCCTCGCTAAAATGGATAAATAATGATTTTCTCTGGCTGTCGTGGCTCTTGGACGACCTTGCCCAGGCTTTCTATCGATGGAGCCAGTATCCTGGAACGGCTTCCATAGGTTACACATGACGCTGGGCGTTAAATTAAACTCTCTGCATATCTGGACTTGCGATTGGCCTGCCTCTAGCCTCCCCACAAGTCGCCACCTCATTCCATCATCTAAACCTTGGTTGTTACTCATTTTTATTGTTCCGATGTGAATTTAGCCGATTGCTGCAAGATAACACCAAGAAATTCGCCGAGGTGTGCTGGCAAACACAATTCGTCTTACCCTCCACGCGCTTATAAAACCTGTTTTTCTTCTGGCTCTACCTACACACACGTGTATGCTTACATATTTGCCATACAAGAGTTGCATTTTTAACTAGAAGAAGTGGTTTTTCCTTCAGTTCAGTTCTTTTCATGCAATTCGATAAAATATGCAAATTTTCTTAATTTAACCACTGTATAAGAGTGGTAAAAATAATTGTGTTAATTTAACTGGTATCATGATAAGTAGCCAAATATGAATAACAAATTAGAAAATTTACACAATACAGAAATACCTCGCTTAGTATAGTTAACTGGTTATTCTAAGGTACTGCACTAAATGAATCCGCTTTTGAGTGAAGCATTATTCCTATAGGAAAATCAGTAATTCATGCCTATCAAATTTTGTTAAAACAAAAATATCTATGTATTTACTTAAAATTATGGAAAATAATAAAAGAGTAAAATGTGCAACACATAACACAAGACTTTTACTGTTTATTTACCAAAATTAAAAAGAAAATATTTTTCAACCAGATAGAGTTTTTTGTACCAATTTTTTTTTTTTTTTCATTCATCATGCGATAAAAAAGAATTGCATATTCTAATTTCTCCCTTGTCTCAAGGCTCCTTTTTTCATTCCAATCATTTTCTTCAATCATTTCAAATGCTATTCCAATGGCATTGACTAGTTCTTCAAGATTATTCAATGGGAAGTTTTTTTTTTTTTTTTTTCCATTCACACATTTTCTTCAATTTCACTTCCTTCTTCACAAACCTGTTCTTCTTCTGAATTCATAATAAATTTGTAATCAAGAGGGTGATATTTCATTAGAATATAGTCCATAACACCGGCAGCAAAGCCTAAATCATATCTGAGTTTCATGATTTCTGCTGAGACTGTTACTCATTTGAAAGACAAAGCTGCAAAGATCATAGTGCAAAGAGGCGAAACATATTTCCACACACTTCTCATTTTATTTCCACACACTTCTCGTTTTATTTCCTCCCACTTCATTCCATGTATGTCTGATATTTTCAATAGCATTTTGGATACTGTAATTTTTCTAAACTATGATCAAAGCTTGCTTGTTTTCAGAAGTTGCTTCGACTTCCTGTGAAAGAGGCCTTCTCAAATAAAAAGCTTTAAACGTTGAAATAACCCCTTGATCCATGGAGGAAGTACTTGGGAGAAGAAAATTAATTCTGAGATCATTACAAACGGCCTGATTATCTAGTAACAATAATGCTTTAAAGGCTATGTTTTGTTTTTCACGGTACCTTTTAATGAAGGAACAAAAACAGTCTTTAAACTAACTTTCAAACAGTGCTTTAGTAACCGAACTTTTCTTATTAGAACTCCAAAACCCAAGTAATGAGTTTTCAGTACATCCCTTTAAAGCACGAGAGTTTTCAGCACAATACACAAGCACGGGTTTCGATTTGACATTTCTTCCTAATAATAAGGTAATTTGATCCTTTGGTGCTTTAATGCTTGGGTGAGATTGCTCTTTTTCTGCCAGATAAGTTTGGAGTGATGGTGGTATGCTACTCTGATGGCACGACTCCATGTGGTAACTGGTGCTAGTTGCATTTGTCAAGGTTGCATATTACTTACCCCATACAGAACTAAAATACATTTAATATAAAACTACAAGAAGCTCCATTAACAGTATGCAACAGCCCTTAAGACATAGAAACAATCATTGCAAGTTATTGTCCTCATTATGTGAGGGTACTGTTAGCAGCAAGTCTCTCTCTATTCGAGAGTTTAAGAGCATTCCAAGTTCTTGCCCAGTCCAAAATACTTTGCAGACTGTCCTCATGATTTTTCAATTGTGTTTTACACTTGCACTCATGAATTTCTTACCTTTGTGTGGTTTGCCACAAGTTCTAGAAGACAGTTTTCTCCATGTTAAAAATTTGTTCATACAAATAATAAATGTCCCATTTTAAATTATCTTGTCATTTTACTTGTGTATGAGTCAGATTCTTATTATTTCTTATATGTTCCTGGATTTGCAACAAGACAAACTGCCTTACTACGAGGGTTGGGTCAAAAGTCATGTCAACTATTTTTTTCTTCTAGATATGTGAACGGATCACAAAATGTTTATGTTTCGTGTGGAAGTTCTACAGGCATAGTGTGTACGCAGAACAACAGATGGCTCTGTGGTAGCGAGGGGTCTGAAATCAATCACTTGGTGAGTGCCGTGCGAGATGAAAGTAACCTGTGTTGAGCAGCGCGCTTACATGAAAATAGCCGTTCTCTGGGGAGAAATGTGATGGAATGTCACAGTGAATTAGTAGAAGCCCTTGGGAATAATGCCCTACCATATCGTACAGTAACACAGTGGGTAGAAAAGTTTCAGCAAGGACGTGTGTCAACCAGTGATGAGCAACGAGCAGGAGGACAGGTGAGTGTGCAGACCGACTTGGCACGTGCCATCATCGAGTACCTCATGGATGAAGACAGACGATGGACATTACTGGAGTTAGAGAGGGCAAGTGGCATTGAGAAATGCACCGTCCACAGGATATTGTGTAATGAGCTAGCACCAGAATCCTTCCCCAGTCAAACTGATGGTGATTGTCGCGTATGACGTCAGGGGTGTCATTGTTTGCCACTTTGTTCCTCATGGCATAACAGTGACCGCACAGTACTACAGGGATTTCCTGGTGTGACAGGTACGACGTGGCATTCGGGATAAACGTTCGGATCTTGTGGACATTGCAATAATTCTGCACGGCAATGCAAGACCGCATAAAGCAGAGTGTGTATGGCAGCTACTCCGACGTTGGGATGGGAAGAAGTGGAGCACCCACCATACTCTTCCTGACCTTTTGCCCTGTGACTTTGATCTCATTCCCAAGAATAAGGAACCAATACGTGGTAGGCGTTTTGCAACACGAGAGGACATTGCTAATGCTGCGCGCCAACAGATGACTCGATTCACACATGGTGCGGCAAATGCTGAGGATGATGGTATTCAGTGCCTGCCACATCGTTGGCAGCATGCGGTGTCAGTAGCAGGGGACTACATTGAAGGTCTTTAGGCCTAGGTTTGTCATGTCAACTTTATGTGTATTGTGTTATTTCTTTTGCACGGGTTAAGGCTATATTGCCCTGTATACTACCATAATAAATTCATGTGTTATGATATTTCAGTGCTATTCATTGTCGACAGATGTAGTTAAGACCTTGTCCTTTCGTCTGTATATGTCACATTTTCCAACTGGACTGGTATCTTCAAGAAAAAAAAATTGTTGCCATGACTTTTGCCCCAACCTACGTATTTTAGTGAGAACATTTAGGGTGAATTATATTGGTGCAAAATCTATTTAAAGCACACAATAGTAAATTAATCAGTACTTAGTAGAATTTATTACTCATATTACTAGCCATACTATAGCAGGA